AGTGACGATTACACAGGTTATATAAGTTTTTTGAAGGCTTTATTATGAAAGAAAAAAATCCAAACTATTGTATTGGTTACTGTGCACTACTTGAAGGAGGTTGTGCAAGATTCTGCTAAGCAAAGCTGAAGTGCACTGCATGATTACAAGTGTCTCTTCAGAAGCAGGGAAATAATGAAAATAATAACTGTAAAGATAATTATGAATGATTAAAGATTATAATGTAATGATAATAATGATTAAAGATAAAGATTTCCATATTGGAGACTATTTTCCAGAAAAGATCATCAGTAACTTAAAATGCCATGTTTCTTTCAAATATTTAGAGTGTAGAAAGGCCTGAGAATATTTCTGAATCAGATGAACAAGTCTTCTAAGCCCTACTTGTAGTATATCTCTAAGAAACAACCACAGAGGTGACTTGAAAATCCTTTTGAAAAAAGTCACACAGGTGGCACACCCCTATCAAAAACTTTAGGCTGCAAAACAAAATCAAACTATAGACAGATGGGGAAACAAGATATTAGCTCCATATTAAATAAAGATAACCACAGTAACAGAACACCTCCAGAAACACCAAGCTTCAGTCTGGGATCTGATGCTCCCCGCTTTACCTCTTTGTCTGCTCCCACCACTTCCCTTGTGCTGACTATGGTTCTTGGACTCTGTCACATGCTGACTTAACTAAGGCAGAATAAAACCAAGCAAGAGAAAAACCACAGGTACGAAAACATTTTTTTGGTGGCCTTGAGAACAGCAGTGTCTAGGTCTCCATGGGACTTGGTGTTGAGAGGAGTCTGACAGTGTATTGATTCACTATAATTGTCTTTTAAGTGTACCAACAGCTGTTTACTTTGGCATCTGTATTTATTTTCACCCCCTTTTTTTTCCTTGCAGTTTGGAGGGTAAACATTCCCATTGTTGGTCATATGTATAAACAGCAAATGATAGAAATTTTCACAGATCTAGGATAGTTCAACAGAACACACAAATGCTATATTAATGTAAATACATCCATCAGATAGAGAACCAAGAAGATGAAGACTCCCTTTTTAAGAGGAGTCACATGGAAAAGACAAGGGGTAATGGATACAAGGTACTCCTGGGGATATTCCGGTTGAACTCCAGAAGAAACTTTTTCACCATGAGGACAATTAGACATTGGAATAATCTCCCAAGGGAAGTGGTGGATTCCCCTACATTGGACAGTTTAAAGACTCAGCTTCACAGGGTGCTGGGCCATATCATTTAAACTGTATTTTTACCTTGAAAGGTTGGACTAGATGATCCTTGGGGTCCCTTCCAACCTGGTATTCTATGATACTATGATAACTTTACAAAGCTGGTATGTTCCAACAAATGCCACAGCTGCATATCTGGAACCACAGAGGAAGGTCAACCACCATTGCAACAAATGACGGCCAATAATAAATCATTAAGCCTTACCAAAGCTAAAAATCTCTGCTCAGCTAGTTGCTCTTAGAAGACTAATTCTTCTGCCACATTATACAAGAGATAGCTTTAATAATGATCGGGCTATACATCACTTGTCTTGAAAATTACAGTCTTCTAAAAAAATTGTGGTTATATTATTCTGTCAAATATACACAAGAAGTATCACTTTTCTTCATTTCTTCATCTTACCATACCAAAAAATGAGATTAAAAAAAACCCCAAACTTGAGTTATACATTACGTGTAGTAAATGGGACATTTGTATTTCATGTACATGAAAAGTACACAAAATCCTTTAAAGAAATTAAATCCCAAAACACAGCCAGACCCTTCAATACAACAGAATTCCAAATGCAAGCTTTCCTTTTAGATGGGTTAGCTATAGACAGACAGAAAACTTCACCTATCTGTACTTTTTTCCCCCCACACTTCTTTTTTTTAAACCTTCAGGTCACAAAATACTCTTAGACGTACACAATCACAGCTGACTAGAAATATGACAACCAGGCATTATCCTGGGTTTTCAAAGGTTAATTTTCAAGAAAATAAAAGCTGCCATACTGTGAAAACTCTTATCTGCTCTTATAGTCTAAGAGATTCAGTTACAACTGTCAGATCTCTGTCTGGGATTTTCTAGTTTTATCACTTTACCATACTGAAATTAGAAAAAAAATATTTGAACACATACTAAGAGTCAAAATACAAAGCTGGGAAAATACACCATTCAAAAAATACACAAAAAGGTTACATTCACACAAATAATTATAAGAAGTGATTAATGACAATTTATCTTTAGGCCTCCTAAGAGCAAAGCCTTGCTCACACTAAGTTATGTTTACCACAGACAACTAACTCATTTGTCAGCTTCTATGGTTACTGTCAAAAGGTACTGTCCAGATCAGCAGGGAAACAGCCACAATCAGAATAAAACCTAACAGTATATAATGTTGGCTACACTCTCCAAATGCATTAATTCAGTCAAAAAACAACATAAAGATCAAAGTAGGACCAAATTTACTACCATTTCCAGTATCTATCTTTCCACGTGCACTACTTTATTTACATCCCATTTATGACCAATCAGCCTCCACTCTGCTTTTGCAAAGCTTTCAGCCAGCAGCTCTTTATTTTCTCCACATCATCAAACAACAGTTGGATAACTTCTTCAGAAATATGCAAATAATCTTTTCAATTTTACCATTCAAAATGCTTGTTAGAACTTTTACTATCTTTCCCTTAGACGCAGTTGAGCCGTTAGAGTTCATGTGTAGAGTATGGATCAATGGCATTTCATTGCATCTTTACACTTTGTGCTTCCACATTTAACAGCTGCACAAACTTGTATCTTGACTTACTCAAAATACGTTTTTTAAAGTGAGGACTGCTTTTTAAAAACATTTTTCTTTGCCTTTCAAATAACAGAAACTGTGTCCCTGAACTGAGTTCATGAAAAATTGTTTATCTACTTTCATTATAAAAATACTAAATTAGAAATGTTAAAATCATTAGGTTAGAGAATTAAATATGTGCTATTGTAACAAATATTCTCTAGAGTAATCTACACTCGAAAAACAGGACTATGTTGTGATGTTTACTTCAATATATTCACTCTAAGTTGCTATCAGCCAAAAGAATGTTTTGAAATTAAAGCAAATACATGTAAGAGCATGCACATTTCAAAACATATTAAATAGAAAATATGTCAATCTGATATAAAATATTGCAATGTGAAAAGTATTACTAGTTGCTTTACATTTAAACAATAACTGCAACTTAGGCTAAACTGTAGTTTCAACAAACGGCAAACACACATTGACTACACTGAGTGAAACAAAGGCTAAAATATACTCATAAAAAATTACAGCCCTCACCAAACACGACTGGAGAGTTGATTTTAAAGAGCCTTGTTTTAAAGGTAACTTACAAAAATCTTCCCACATGAAGATAGCATATGACATTGATAACCTGACCAAATTCTGCTAGGTTGCACTGAATTACATAGATGTTCTTTTATTTGTATCGTATGCAAGCAGAAAATCAGAAAATATTTTCAACATTTTTTCAGAATATTCCACCTCCATTTGGTTTATCAAGAAAATACAAATGCAAAGTTACAAAATGGGACAGTATTAGCTGTGCTTTTAATTCAACTTTATTTATTTTTATTACACAAGCCACTGTAATGACAAAGACACAAGACAACTTTTCA